GGGGAGCCGCGCGGGCGCAGCACCTGCCACCGCGGTCCCACCGCCCAGCAAACCCGCGTTCCTCAGAGCCGGGAGGGGCCGGCGGACCCGGCGCCCGGCTTCCACGCGCCTCCCGCCCCCGGTGCTCCCCTGGCCAGGGCCGCCCTTCTCGTTCCCGGGGCGGGAGGGGACCCGGGGGCAAAGGCTGCTCAGTGAGCCTAAGGGACACGCGGGCGCGTGTGGGAGAAGCGCGCAGACTGGCATGGGTGCGGCTCGGCCCCCAAAGGTCCTGGGCGGGTGGGGCGCGCAGGGAGCGGGCGGTGGCCCGGCTCTGAACTCCGCGCGAAGGCCCTGTGCTGTGTGGGGCGAGAAGTTTGGGTGTCCCTACGGTCAGAGTCGGGGTGACTCTGGGAGCCGGGAGGGGGAGCCCCCTTCCCCATGCAGAGGCCTGACTGGAAACATCCACTTGAGGGTAGGCCCAGGGGTGGCCCTTGCCCCCCCCGCCCCCGCAGTGGCTCCGCCCCCCCCAACCCCTGCTCCGGAGCTCCGAGCCACTGGGCACCGCCCGCCCGGCCGCCCGGCCAAGGGACGAGCAGCGCCACCTGCCGGCGGCTCGGGGAAGCGCGGCCGCCCAGCTGCCTTCTCCCACCCGGAGGCGCCCACCTCGGAGCCCCGGGTGCCAGTTGCCGCGGAGGCGCGCCCCCGCGGGTGGCAGCCTGCTTCCCGCCCCACCACAGACGGGCAGGGCGCAGGTGAGCAGCCCGCCCGCCAGGTGGGCCTGGAGCCTGTGCTGCCCAGGGCCGGCTGGCCCAGCTTTCTACCTGCGGCAGAGCCGCGCATCGGGCTCAGCTCTGGAGGCCCAGCCGCACCAGGCTGGACGGCAGGTGCCGCCCGCTCCTCGGTGGCCTCAGGGAGCCCGCGGGAGCTGGCTCTCTCCCTGCCCCCTTGGGCCGGCACAAGGTACCGCTCGCTGGGAGCGGGGCGGCCGCAGACCAGCACCTGGGCGGCACAAGCTGGCAGGGCGCAGCCCGCCGACAGGAGGGCGCCAGCCACTCCCACCGCACTCTGGCTTCTCAGGCACCTGAGTGCACACTGGCGCAGGTGGGCGGGCGGGGGTGTCCTGGTACTTTGGGGAGACACTTCAGGGCTTCTATAGCATCTCAGGCCCCTGGGTATCCCCAGTTCTCGGCCCTAGTTGATGCCACTGAAGCTCTTTGGCGCATTAGCACTTTGACAAGAAAAATCATTTGAGCATGAGGTAAACATGCCACAATTACCCGAAGGCTGCTAGCCGAAGGCAGCGGGAATCTGGGACAAGCAGTCGGGACGCCCCGCAGTTCAACTACGTCAGTGCTTCTGAAGAGAAATGCTGGCGCCTTCACGCACACTGCCGAGTCATCAGCATTTCCATTTCTCCCTGACTCGGGCCATCGACCGGCTGGTGGCGGGACCTCTGTGGTTGCCTGTAAGTTCTCAAGAGCTCTTTCCTTCAAAAACCTGTGACTTCTCATTTCAGCGGCCCTGTGTGTCCCACGGCGCACGCAGGGACCCGGGACCCCACCGTGGGCTGCGAGCTCCTCACCGAGATAGGGTGGGGGGAGGCGCCCGCAGGGCTGGGACAGAAGGCCGCGCCTGACCCCACACTCTAGTTACACAACATGGGGTGCAGACCAGTGGCCCCCAAGCCTCATACAACAGCGTTCTTTATAGCCATGTTTTTCAGGGCCCTCCCTGGGGCGCAGCAGGTTACAGCGCAGCACTGAGAAGCTGAAGCCACTTCAGTGAGTTCGACCCCCGCCTGCCCCGGAGGTGACCCCAGGGCGCGGCAGACCTCTCCTGACCGCCCGCTGCTCCCCTCAGCAGTGTGCTTCGTTGATCTGCCTGTTCTGCTCCCCGCTCTGTCTCTGGGGAAGCCTCTCACCGCCCCTGCGCCTGTACCCCAGCTCTGTGAGCATAAATAAATAAATCTTAAAAAAAAACATCAAGTTTTTCACATTCTGGAGCCCAGTGCCTGGCTGAATCTGGTAGTAACTACAGACAAATAAATGAAAGTAAAATTTCCTAAGAGGACATTTTTGAGGATCAGAAGCGTAGCCTGTGCTGTCCCCCATCCCAAGCACGTGCTGGCTGTCAGGTCTGCAGAAGGTTTTACACGCGCGTCGCCCCAGCCTGCCTCTATTCAGCACACATACATGCCCGGTGGTGCCGTCAACTACATGCTCAACGTGCTGAACATTAAACGTCTGAAGAAAACCTAAGTGCTGACGTCCGTCTCCTGCGGCTTCAGGAAGCTGCACCTTTAGGCCGAGTGCGGCTGTACAGGAAGCGACTGGAGACGCCAGGCGAGGCACACGTTGGAGCCTGAAGCTGCCCCGACGAAAGCTGCCCCAGGACACAGCGCGGACACGAGGCCCCGGCTGCTGCCACGCTTCCTGGAGAACACGGGGACCCCTCAGGGCTCGGGCGCGAAGGGCAGAGCGCCTCGCGTGGGACACAGCAGTCGCTGCATTAGCCCGGAGTCTTGAAACGTGCACCCGCAGGTTCCGCTTGTTGCCGTGACCCGACAGCGCAGCGCGAGCGTCTGAGACGCTGAGAGCGGAAGGCAAGATCCCGAGGCCCGCTTTCCTGTACGACACCGCTCGAGTTATGAAACAAAAATGCGTTTATTTTCTCAGTGTTTAAAAAGAAGATTAAACAAACATGTGTTTGAAATGGATGTGACCGCTTACGGTGAAATCACCTTTCACTTTACACAGAGGATTTCAATACCGTGGCAGTCAGTCACTGGACTCGAGGGAGCTCAGAGCAGAGCGTCACACACCAGCTCTGCTCACGGAGCTGCTTCATCACGTCGTCTTGCTCATCACGATCTCCTGAGTGCTGTGCGTGGAGCATCCACTGCGGGCGGAACGCACGCTGTCCAGGGAACCCCACAGCTGAAGGAAATGGGAAACAAGAGGGACACGCGCTGGCAGCCTGGGCCTGACACCCCAGGGCAGGATGTCGGCGGTGCCACGCCCTGCGCATGGGCACCCTGACCCCCGTCACTCTACCTTTGACAGGAATCGTGTGCCATCCTAGACCAGCACAGAAACAGGCCCCAAACCACACACAGGGAGCTACCACACGGCACTAGCCGAGAAGCGGGCTATCACGCTGGACAGGCGTGCAGCACGCTGCCAGAAGCCACAGCGGCGTTTCAGGCCTTTCCTCCGAGGCGCTCAGCTAGCACGCGAAGGCCGACTCGCAGGGCTGGCTGCTGGTGACTGGTGTATGAGACTGTTTTTAAGACACGACCATGGGAAATACATCTGAAGAGAAAATTCAACCATGCATCCTTGAGGAAGTTGCGTGCTCACATAAAATCCTTCACATGTAACTTGCCTCAGTGTAAGGTTTTGTATTTTCTAGCCTGCTTCTCTGCCTTATTTTTGTCAAATCGGTCACTGTTTGAAGTTATCTGGGCAACTTACTTCCCCCTACTCTCTAGAACACATGTAAGCTCCCTGGAGGCAGACATCCTATTACCTTTGCTTTGTAACATGTATTCACACGAGGACGTTAGGTTTCTTTTTGCTTTATTCTTCTTAGAAATGGGCCTGGTTTTTCTTTCATATTTTCACATGACTTAGACCTGTGTGCCAGCCTCCACGAAACTCCCCCTTGGACTGTTAGGATGGCACCGAACGTGTTGGACGGGAGGGGAACGGGCAGCTTTCTACTGCTGAGTCCTTTGATCCAGAGGACAAACCCCTCAGCATACGCAGAATTAAACTTCTCAAAGCAATGTTGTTCCCAGATAGACCTAGCTCTCCTTAGACATACCGAGCGCCAGAACACCGATCAGCGCTTGCTACGAATATTTTGGAAAATCCATTTTTCCAGTATTATGGACAGTATGTAGAGCTGCAACTGACCCCCAGCACTGTCCTCGCGTCCAGGAAGCCTTGAGTTCATGAGCTGTGTTCCTTATATTCAGACCTGCGTCTCTTTTCCTTCCTGTGCTCACGGGAAGCTCTAGCACAACGGGACCAGGAGGCGAGGCAGATACCTGTCCCCCAGGGCCACGCTTTCTCGCTGTTGCCATGGAATCAAGCGTTTTCCTGAGGAGACCATTCCCAGCCCTCCCTGCCCCACACCTCCAGCCGGGCCAGCAGACGCCTGCTGGGCCTTGCTCTCACTCCCCGCCAAGAAAGCACAGCGAGCGCCAGCACCCTGCAGTGTCCCCTCGGGAATGGAGCCGGCTTTGTTGCTCAGTGCCACAGAGGTGTCTCCACACGTGAGGACCCTGCAGGTTCGCCTGCTGCGCGTAATACGACATTTGGGCTCCCTGCGTCTGGGGCTGCTCCTTTAACGCAGGCCGCGGAGGGAGGCCAGTCGGCTAGCCCGGATGCAGCGATGCTGCGTGCGTGCTGGCCCTGGCCCTGCCCCTACCCCGGGAGGCTGGTCTCCCCGCCGGGCGTATTAAAGCGGCGTCCCCGGCACCGGGCCCCACGCAGAGGCCGATGCCCCTACCGCTTGTTAGGGCTCTCACAGGAGGCTGGTGAGTTTCGTCAACTACTTCTGCGTGCTGAACAGTCCCCTTTATTCTAACTGTATGGCAAATTACACTGAGTTAAAAATGTTCAATAAATCTTGCATTTTCTATAATTTCTTACGATTTCCTAACGTTTTAAAAACATCTTGAGAAACTGTATTTATTTGACTTTTAAGTCCAATCTGACAATCACTATTTTATAGGAATATTTGGTTCATTTATATTTCTGATGAACTATTGGCATTACTAGGTTTTCATCATCTTACTACATGCTTCCAACTTAGCCTGGCTATGCTTTTTGTGGTACTTTTTCTCACTCTATACTCTTTCCCCCTGTATTTACGTGTTTTAATTTCATTCGTGATGAATCATTTTTGGGAGTGTACATTCTTCTCTACAGAGTAACTAGCAGGTGTACAATTGCTGGCAGAAATAATCTGAGGCCTAAAACACGACTCTCGCAAAGAATGCTCACCTTCATGTCTCAGACGCACAGCATAGGTACCCGGACACTTCACTCTGGTCAGAGAGTGCGTTCCGAAGCTGACCACCACCCTTCCGATGAGCTCGCTATTCTGGCTTACAGTCACCTCTAGAGCACAGCCTGCTAGGAACCCTGCACCTCTGCTGAGTTCGCCGAGCCCCGGGGCCCCGGCTCCACGCTATTAGGAGGATCCCTCCAGCTCCTAGCTGTCCTCTGCAAACAGTGCCAGGAGAAAGTGGTGGCAGACCTTGGGCACAGTTCCCTGGGACTTGCTGCTCTGGACCCTGCCCCATGAATCACCTTGATAGCTCTCGGGGCCTTCCAGCAAGTGTCTTTATAGTCAGCTTTTCAGATTACTCTGAATGAACCCAGACAGTTAAACTGGGAACCAGTCCCGTTGCACTGCGTTGTAACAGGGATTCTCTCTCTGACACGTCTTTCCTCACGTGGTGGCGCCTATGCCTGTGCCCTCGAGTGGCCCTGGCGAGCCTCATCTAATGTGGTGGAGACGCCGGTGCACGGCTCCCAGGGAAGGCTCAGCAGAGCAGGACCGTCTAGCTCACCCGCACCCCAGGTCAGCTGCCGACATGGAGACGCTAGAGCAGTGGCGGTAACGGCCACCAGCACGCAGGCGCCGCGTCAGCGCAGGCCTGGGCCTCAGTCTAGCCTCCCAGCGACTCGCTCAGGCCAGCCCCGAGCGCCCCAGAGCTAAATCCGCCCTGCCGAGCCACTCCTGAGCCCTGCAAACTACCAGGTGAGTTGTCTAATGCGACACACTTCTGAGTAAGGGGTTTGCACTAACAGTGAACTAATACAGCAGGTCTGCCTTCCGTTTAGTATTATTTTAAGCTTAATGTTATTCTTTTTATTGGAGAACAAAATGGTAAAACCAGTAGCTTAAAAATTTTAAGTAACAACACTGGAATGTAAGACACGACTGACTTACCTCTGCTGATTCATCTATCCCTAGCTGGAAGCAGAGTTTTTCAACACAGACGAAGTCATCTCCACGATAGTGCTAATAGACAAGCCGTTCAGGAAGCCTGTATGGCCCACTCGTACTTCCTGCAGAGCGTCGATGATACGATCTCTGCAAAGGAGAGCGTGTGAGGCGCTGGGCAGCAGGCGCACCGGCCGCGCCGGCACGGCCTGAGCCAAGCTGTGTTTCTACATGAAAAGTTTACCACCGGCCGAAACACATGGCAGTCATCACCTGCTCGCTTCGGGGTGCAGTTCCGTCAGCCTCTTCATGATCTTGGTAAAACTGCGCAGATTCAGTGTGTTCGGAGGGATGAACTGAACTGGTATATCGGGCAACAGCTTGGTAGATTCGATCTGTTTACAATTCTTCTTGACACCCTAAGCATTTAGAAGGTTTTCTTGAAGTCAGCAGTCATTACACGGAGAGGTTCCAGCACAATTAAATTATAAAATAACAAAAAGTTAAATCAAAATTCCTAAGAAATTTATTTTCCATTTGGGATTTTCCAGGACCGTTTGTTCCCAGAAGATTTACTTGCGCTGTGTTCAGGGGCAAGCTTTAAAAAACTGCCAGACCGGTTCCCTTCTGGTGGCGATAAAACACAGAGCTTCCTCCTCTGAACCGCAGAGCGCAGAGATGACGGAAGCTATGCTTCCAACGCCCCCGAGGACGGCCTGCCCAGATGCCCCCCTAGGGACCGGGAGCTGTCACCTCCCTAACCGCAGGTGCTGGAGGCGAGGGTGTGACGCGTACTCTCCCCCGCCCGGTCAGGGAGGCCGTGGACGCGGCGACCGCCACGGGCCTGCACGGCTTTTGCCGGTATGCAGTGAGCACGAACTGCAATGCCAGGAGCTGTGCCCTGGCTGCGCGTGGGGGAGCCAGGGACATGGCATGGAACTCCGCCACGTCCACATCACCAGCCATCTGATAAAATCATTAGCACTGCCACGTGAGTAAGCTACAAGTGGTGGGAAGCCACCGTAGCCTGAAAAGCCTAGGCAAACATCAGGACTTCAACAGCCTGGACGAAGCCAGAGGAAGACACACGGAGCGCCAGCTCTGGCGTGGCAGCACGTTCTGCCGCTTAGCCGCTCACTGCCTGTCTCCACCAAATAAATGTAAGCCCTGCAAGCCCACTGGTCTCGGTGCTCCGCGCGCGGCTGCTCTCCCAGTGCCTACATCGTGCGCACAGCACACGCGCAACAGCCACCGAGTGAAGTGGGAGACACCACCGCTCGACAGTCCGAGCGGCAGCGTTGACGAAGTTTCCCACAGACATCAAGGGCTCCTGTTTGCGGGGTGCACTTTCCCGCCAGGCCCTGTCCCGAGAACTCTCTGCGCTCGCTGAGGGAAAGCTCACGGCACCGTGAGGGCACCTGGGCGCGGGGCTCCGGCCTCCTGCTCTCCTCGCCCAGGCCCGTCCGCCCAGTGCTGGGTACACGTGGAGCTCGAGACTGCGGCGCGGCGGCCTGCCACCCTCTCAGCAAAGCCCTCCTCCTCCAGCCGAGGGGCCCGACCCAGCAGCCTTCCCAGTCAGCGCCCACCGCGCCAGCCGCCTGGGCCGAGAGCTGCCACCGGAGCGGCCGGGCGCCGAGACAGGCTGGCCACGCCACGCACGCGTGGCCAGAGAGCAGCGGGCCCAAGGCCCAGGAGCCAGACGGAAATGCACCCGCGCAAGACGCGACCCCCACGCCGCCAGCTGGCCAGAGGCCGCCCCGAGCCGGGGAGCCGCACAGCAGAGCATGGGTGGACCCCGTCCCACTGCAGCTAGGCCCGGCTAAGGCCCACACTGCGCAGTGACCCGGGATGGAAGGAAAAGGAGTAAAAGATGACCGTACCCAAAAGAGCCAATGTTCAAAAGGAAGGAAGCTGGGAGAGGACACTGGTCACCGGAGAAACAGCGGTGCAAGTCAGATTGTGAGGACAAAGAAGGAAATCAAAGGAGTCAAGACGCTGAAGATAAAAGCTACCTGGGGAGTTTCACAGGAAGATCACAGGGCAAGTGGAGACGGGTCAGTAACGGCGCAGGACAGGGTGACACCAGAAATCAGGAAAAGGTGGGGGAAGAGCAAGAGATTATTTTATTTCCTAAGGGGAAAACCTAGATTAATCTATTTGACAAATATTTATTCTTTCATACATTAAAAAGGGGCTTGCTTGGCTCTGATCTACAGAATCAAAATAGTCCCAACACAACTTCAAGCAGGGTTTTCGGTCTACACTGGCAAGTTAAATTATAAAATTTATACAGAGACCCAAAGAAACTGGAGTAACTGAAACAACTCTTTAAAAGAAAAAAGCCGGCGGACTCGCTCAGCCTGGTTTCCAGACCTACCAGGGGGCGGCGGCAGTCAGGCAGTGCAGTCTGGGACACACCGGTGGGGCGTGTCCGGTCTCCCCCGTTTTTATAAAGGCGCCACAAGTAATTCCAGGGAGAGTCGGCAAGGACACCGGAGTAGTTCCACGTGCTCCCCCCACACCACACCCCCACATCTGCCCCTCACACCTGATATCAACGTTAACTCAGAGCCTTTGTGACCAGGGGCTATGCACGGTCAGAGAGCTTCTTAGAGCCGACACAGAGGCCCTCCCTGGGGCGCAGCGGGTTACAACGCAGCACTGAGAAGCTGAAGCCACTTCAGCATGAGTCCGATCCCAGCCCCAGAGGTGACCCCCAGGGCGCGGCAGACCTCTCCTGACCCCCCGCTGCTCCCCTCAGCAGTGGACTTCATCGATGTGCCTGTTCTGCGTCCCACTCTGGCTCTGGTGAACCCTCTCACCGCCCCTGCACCTCTGCTCTGTACCGCAGTTCTGTGTGCACAAATAAATGCAACTTTTTTTTAAAAAAAGAAACAACACAGGGTACAAGTGAACGAGAAAACACTGCTCTGAGAAAGACGCTGAAAGACTGAAAAGACAAAAACTATAGACTGGTAAAATATTTGCTGATCACATACCCACCTGATAAAGAATTTAATTTAGAATATAACAAACTCTTGCAGCTCTTACTAAGACAACAACCTCCTAAAAATGATCCAAATGAACTGCCAGTACAATAATGTGGGTCTGGCTCAAATTCATGAAACTACGGGACAGAAGCCGAGAAAGGGGCCCTGCAGTGCAGGGGACAGCACGCGGGCCGCAGAGCAGCAGGAGCCGCATACAAAAGTAAGTTGGGGCGAACACCCAGGTCAGAGATGACAGAGACTGTTCACATTCTGCTTGCAGACCGCTGAGCACACGCACGCCGTTCTGTGAAGCTAGACCTGTCCCAGGGACGGCGCCGCACGGCGTCTCCAAGCGCCAGTTCGGGACAGCTCTGAGAACTATACTGACCTGGTTGGAAGGGAACAGCTCACTGTCTTGTCCGGCGCCCAGATGCCGTGGCCGAGTTCTGGGCGCTCTGGAAACAGGGGGTGCTGAGCTGGTTTCTTTGCTGGCGGCTTTCTCCGTGTTATTCAAGCCAACTCGATTTCCACTTCTGGAGGGGAGGGGTGCTGCGTATTCGCCAGGAGACTTGACAAGCCGCACGTTTACTGCTTTGCCATTTATTTCCATTCCGTTCATTTCTTTCACAGCCACCTTTGCATCACTGCTGTTTCTAAAAGCAAGGGATGCATACCTAAAGCGCAGCAGCAGAAAACCAAATGGTTCTTTGTTAGTAATTTAGAACTGCGTCAAGCTTCGTTTTGTAACTACCTGCTAAGATGTACTTTTCACCACACCCATTCTTAATAGAAACGACTACTCTGGGGCTTCACCTCAACTTGCATAAATATTTTACTTTGGACTGACGATTTCCGTGGAAAGGAAAAATTCTGAGTTTCAACCTAATTTTTTGAGGTCTTGCACATGTAAAAAAAAATAAACAAAATTTACTTGTATCTTGGGATCAGAGAGTTTATTAAGTGTAGCTAAATAAACACAAACTGAAGATAAATTACCTCCTATTAATTTTATATTAAAATTTAAGGCAGGCCCTCCCTGGTGGCGCAGCGGGTTAAAGCACAGCACTAAGAATCTGAAGCCACTTCCTCATGAGTTCGATTCCCGCCTGCAGCCTGCCCCGGAGGAGACCACATGGCGAGCCAGACCTCTCCTGGCCCACCCGCTGCTTCCCTCAGCAGTGTACTTCGTAGATCTGCCTATTCTGCTCCCCACTCTGTCTCTGGTGAAGCCTCTCACCGCCCCTGAGCCTCTGGCCTGTACCCCAGTTCTGTATGCACAAATAAATAAATCTTTAAAAAAAAAAATTTAAGGCAAAAGGTTTACAACACTTAAATATGGCCAAGCTGAAACACATGAGCAGTTTGGGGACAGTAGGTTATCCAAACTAAAAACATCTTAACCCTATACACACATGTAAACAAACTCCAGATGGCCCAAAGGCTTGAATGTAAATGTACAAGTTGAAAACACTCAGCAGAATACACGGAGATATCCCTGTGACTTGCAGTGGGAAACTGGAAGGCCACAGCGGCTGGGGAGCCCCACCGGGTCCCAGGCACAGAGCCGAGCCAGGGGGTGAGGGCCGCAGCGCTGAGGAGGTGGCCACGAACAAGTCTAGCAGGAGGGATTTTTCTAAAAAAATTTCAGGGATTACAAGCAAATTTATGTAACTTCCTTGTATTTTTATATCTATTTTCTAAGCTTCCACATATAATGTGCAGGACTTCTACTAATTAAAAAAAAAAAACAACTATAAACTTGTATGCCTTAAAGTGCTAACAGAGTAGATTTTGAAGCTCTTACAAGAAAATTTTAAGTAGGCTCTAACTCTGTCTAGTGAAAATGTTCACAGGACTGTCGCAGCAAGCACTCTGCAACACACACGAAATATCCAGTCCTGACGCTGAACCACCACACCCTGTGAAGAGCTCGACCCCTCCGGAGACTTGCACACCGGCCCTCCTGGAGTCACAGCGCTCCGCTCCAATGCAGCCTACGTACACAGCAGCAGGACAAATAAAAAAGCGTATGATCTTAACTTGCTCCACGTAAGACAAAATGATACACTTGTTCCGAATAAATTTGAGGCACAACTACGAACAGACCCCTTTTTAATTAAGGTTTCCCTCTCTGAAATAGCTCTCATTAAGCTCCCCACCCCCACGGGATACTCCTGTGGCCTTGCATGTCGCCCAGAAGAAGCGGGAACACGCACTGGAAAAGGAGGCCTCGCTAAATACACGAGAGCATCACCTAAGAAGTCTTCCAAGTAAAAACAACAAAGGAAAGGCCAATCTCCCTGGCGCCCCATGCAGCGCGCCTCGTCTAACCGCAAGAGCGGCGGCACAGCTGTGAGGGACTGCCACCACCTCCTGAGCGACACGTGTTCAGGAGGCACCGACGGGGCTGGGCCGCCAGCTGCACGCCTGCTGCCTGCTCTCTCCGAACGCCCTCTATGTGCCCTGCCAGTGGCGTGGGGCAGCCTAGAGCGGAGGCCAGTGCGTGTCCACGTCCGCAACAGCAAGGTAAAGGCTGCGACGGAGGACGACCCTGACCGGGGCCCGCCCACCGCGCTCTCCGCTGCTGCAGCCCTGCACGAGGCCCTGACCCACCCCATGGCGCCATCAGGACGGTCTCCAGCACCCAGCGGACACCGAGGAAACGTGCGTTGGCTGAGGGTGAGGAACATACCTGTAGTTAGTAGAAGAACCGTAAATGGCAATTTCAGAAACATGGTATTTCTGGAAATGAGACCTTAAGTCAGCCTGGAAGAAGAGAAAAAAGTGGGAAATGTAGAAAAATAACAATGACCCAACAGGCCCAATTAGTAGATTCAAAGATGAAGCTCAAGAATAGCTCCTGGCTCACCTCAGACACTGAAGGGCGGAGGCCACCCACATGTATCAAGTGCCCTTTCTCTCTGCGTAAGGGGTCAGCAGTCTTCATTTCTGCGCGCAGTGAGACACAACACACAACACGTGATGACCTTTACAGTACCGATCATTTTCGGAAAAAAGGAAAATTATTTAATATTTCATTGCTTTATCACCTATAAGGTTACTAGCAAATACCAACACACTAGGCGGAAGAACAAGATTGTAACTTAGATTCCTGGGTCTTAATCACATCTTAAAAACAAGACGCTGGATTGGAAGCTCAAACACGAATCCCTGATTATAAACACGGTAGTCAGTTCTGCTGTAACTGTTCCATCATCACTGAGACAGTGATCTGAGTGCAGGTGCAGAGGGGACCCTCCCCCACGTCAGCTGGCTCAGCTTCTGCTCACATACTCTTTTGCTGGGGAAAAAACCTTAACTCAGGCCTGTCCAGCTCCATCAGTACTGACCGAGTGAGTCTGTACCTAGGGCCCTTCATCTTAAAGGGGAGAGGAAAACAGCACCTGCCCAGCCCTGCTGGGCTCTCTGACCGGCAGGCCCTGAGCCGCGCTACCAGAGGCCAGTGACAGGAATGACATGAGGGAAGGAGGACAGCAGTGAGAATCAGACAGCACTGCCTGGGAATCACAGCTTTCAGGGTCTCAGGTGTATTTTCCCGCTTGATAAAATAAGCCGTCACTTGTAGACCACACCTTCCTGGACTCCCTTGTTGAGGCGCTTCGAGCTACTAGCCACGCCACCAGCTGGCCCCAAGGCATGTGGACACTGCTGACCGAGTCCCCGGGGAAGCGTGCACACAGGCTTTACAATCCTTCCAGAGCAGCAGGGATCTGCTGCGTCGCCGCTGCATCCCTGTGGCAGAGGCCAACCCAGGACTTCCCACCTACCCCTGGGCAGTCACTGTTGTCACGGCCATTCCCCCATGAGGACACTTTGGTCTTAGGGTGTTGGCCGCTCGAGCAAGAAGGGTGCTGACTCGGGCAGAAGCTGCTGCTCAGCCCCGACTTCCTGACCATCATTATTAGCCTCATGTGACACGCTCATCCCACCAGTGACAATGTACGTCAGAAAGCGCTGCAATCACTTGCCTTTACAAACTACTTTTACTGTAGGGTAAGTGAGAAGGGAGCAGGGGCCTTCCGCAAAGCTTAGCAGAGGGCGGGGGTAAGACTGAGGACAGACGTTCAAGCTCCTAGTGCACTGAGCCCGGGCATGCTGAGCGTGGGAAGTAGTACGTCACGTGAGCAAGACACACAGCATTGGAGAGGGAGAAAAAATAAGGGACAGAGTAGTTACAATAAACTCAGGGACATGCCATTTAAAACTACATGTAGTAGCCGTGGATAAAGAAATACAAGAAAGTGGTAAAAATATTAAGAGTGGGTGGGATTACTGCAGGTTGGAGACATGTCATGTAATTTTAGTTTTGTCTTTTGTTAAAAAAACCTAAGTATTATTTATACAAGCAGGGGGAAAACCCAGCAAAACTCTTGCTAGCAGGTAAAGTAAAAGCCCACAGAAGACAGGAAGACAGGGAGATGCTGTGTCACTGGGGATGGCAGAAGGCAATGATCACAGAAACCCAATATTACAAACAATTAAAAACTACTTAAAAATGGACACTGTCCACTCATAGCAGGAGTATAATGGACCAGGGGAGAAAATAGCAAAAATAATGAACAACCATATACCAGAGACATTTTGTGGGGGTGGAGTGGGGAATGGGATCAAAAACGGGGGGGGGGGAGGAAGAGAAATGCACGGGATTATGGTGATGGCACACGGGTGACTTGGTGATGGGAAACCCGCGGGGATTACAATTGAGATGGAAAAAAAAAATGTACAAAATGATGTAAAAATAAACTTTTGTAATAAAAAAAAAAGAAAAAGAAATATTTCAGAAAAGATGGTGCTAGAAAGAATACAAATATAAATGAATATAGATAATGCCTTGAGAAAATAAAAGGTGAAGGAAAGCTTTTAAAATATAAAAATAAAAAAAAAAAAGAAAACTGTCCCTAGAATAGGCTGAATCCCTAACGAGCAGGAAAGCTGTCTCACGCCAGCCCATTTGATGCAGTCCAGCTGCCTGGGGCACTTGTACGACTGGCCATGAACCCCACATCCTGCCTCTGAAGGGCCTGGAAGGTGCCCCGCTGGGGTCAGGTGCTGTGGGACCGTGAGGAGGCAGCTGGGGCTTCGACCCGCTGATCAACAGGTGGGTGTCAGCGCTCAGCAGACAGTTCTATGATGAAGAAACGAACGCTTTAAACTGACTTACTCTTAAAACCGATGGCCACATGGCCGGTTTTCTCATTTTTCATAAAGGGAGCCACAAACAGAAATATTTAAAGTTCACTGGGTCCCTCCAAATCTTCCTGAAGCCAGTAAACACCATTTCACACACAGGCCAGTTCCGCACCCCAGCCCGCACAGAGGGACTAACCGAGTGCAGGCCCCGGGCCTCCTCCATCCTGCCCCACCGGGTCTGCCAGGGTTCCTGTGAGGTCGGCCCCGGTCAGGTTCTCCTGCGCATCAAACCAGTCTTCACTCACATCTCCACAGGTCTTACACTCTGAGAATGGAACACAGGCAGTTAGGAATTAAGTGTCAGGTTGAACTTCTGAGAAGTTACCTAAAAAGCATCTCAGAACGACTTAGCACGACAATTTTATGTATAAATCTAACACTAAGTATTAGCCACAGAAGAAAACCGAACACCGACCCCTCTCTGCAGCCCGAGCGACGAGTTGCCTACTTCTCCTGGAGTGGCCTCACTGGAGCACGAATGTCTGTCTCACCTAGTGCCTTCCGCGTGGCGGGCACGCCAAGCAGAGCTACGCGCCTCACGTCATCTAGCATGGGGCTATTCTGGAGCAATCCTATCTTTTCACAGGGGACCAGAGAAGTGGAATTATATACAATTCAAATACTAAGGGACATTAGAATTTTCAGATTGGAAAACATGAACCCGAAGAGTGGCAGTCTATTATCATTTTGCAGCGTCAAATATGGTAAACAACCTTCAAGATGTCAAGTAGATGTAATGAGACTGAACATTCACGATGAGTGTTACTCAGCACCCGTTCTGATCTCGCCCCTCTTCTGTTTCCTGGCGATGACGCCGGGGGACAGTCTCACACTGACCTTTACTGTCGAGGCCCAGCTGACTCAGGTCCACATTTCCGTGGCCGCCTTCTAGCCCCCCGCCCTCCGGCGGGGCATGCTGTGCAGCGTGAGCACCGTCAGACGGCGAGGACACCTGGGGGTTCCAACAATAGGACTCAGTGCCCAGGGGCGCGTCCCCCGCTCTCAGCCCCGCTCTGTCTGTCAGCGAGGGTGAGGGGCTGGCAGAGTGCAGGGAAAGGCTGAGACTGTTTAGCAAGGGAGGATGGGGGTGCACACAGTGCCTCAAATGCTCTCTGGGGCACACGCCCACTTCACAGTCTCCTTACCAGTTACGTGTGGCATGGAAAGTGGGTTTCTGTGTGCCATCCAGTCCCGGTGTGACGGCGCTCCCCCACAGAGAACAACCGCTACTTTACATGTACGTTCACTTCAAGAGGAGAAATACTTGAAGAATAACCGAGCAGACAACACCCTAGTGGCACACTGCTGGAAACGGCGGCCCCAGCACCAGAGTGGCGACGCCGACTCAGAAATGCGATGCCTGCACTGGCCCCGGGCATGGCCTGCCGGCTTCACTACTGAACCACAGATGTGCCAGGCAAGGCGAGGTGACCCCAACGTAAAATATTGTTTGATAGACAGAACTAAGGTCACAAAATTGTTTTATCTTGTATCTTTAAACAATAATTTGTCGTTCTCACATAAGCGGTTTCTACGGCTGCGACCTATACACTGATGGGAAAACAGAACGCGATGTATTCTTCAATAGACAAATGGTTTCTGCAAAGTAGGTAAGAAATCTGAGGCTACAAAATCCTGGTTTTTGATCTGTTAAAATTTTTTAGATAGTTGCGTTTTTTTGTTTCAGAGAGTAGGAAACAGAAAATTTGTTAGGGTGAACATCAGGTTAACAGAAAGGAATCTAGGTAACTTCAGTCTCACCTTTGGCTCTGAAATGCACTTTCCCTGACTGGCCAAACACTGCCAGCTCAGGGTCACAGCCTGAGGCAGGGCTTCCCTAGCCCGGCCTCACGCCTGCCTCACTGACGTGAGGGGTTAGCAATGCCCAGACTGTCACCTGACAAAACATGTCCTGGGGCAAGAAGAAAGATCAAGAAAACCCTATGCCAGGCATTTCAAAACTGCTTTTATCATTATCAAGACTTTGCCCTGCGCATGAGCGGGGTGTCAGCCTCTCTCCTGAAAGGAAGAGCAGTTTTAGCCCCCTGCGTGGAAACCCGGCGGGGGGTGGGGGGCTGGAAGTCATGGGATTTGCCCTGGCCACCGACTTATTCCTACTGTCATGGTGAACAGCACCACTGACTTCCAGCTTCAAATGTCTCGGTTTGAGCCCAATCCTGTGTTGCTGCACTCCGTGCACGCCACTGACATGCCCCATCGTGTAACTGGCGCTCCTTCCACCCATGACAGCCTCACAGGGCAGCACAGTAAGCCAGTGAGCTAGATGGGGACGAAAATTTTGAAACTTTAAGCTTCCTTTGTTTAAGTCACAGCATTAAAAACAGACACTCAAGAACTACTTTTGAAAATCCCACTTGAGACAGAACCTTTTTCAGGCTCGAAGAAATGTCAGCATCACTGGTACTTTGATTATCCAGTTCAGAATCTGCCCCTGAAAAGCTGAACAGATGGATGTTTCATTAACGAATTTATCAATGTTTTGAGAAGACAAAACTTAATCAGGCAATTTTTAAGGTCTAATGAGCTTAAATTAAATTAGATGAAACCATAACTTACACACTTGAGTCTTCCTTTAGGAGCTGGAAAGAGAGGGGGAGGAAGAGCTTTTTAAGTTTAAAATGTTTCCTGTCCAAATGAAATAAAACATTTCCCCTAAAACAGACACACCCAGGGCCCTCCCTCGTGGTGCACGGTTTACAGCGCAACACTGTGAAGCTGTTGGCAGCCACCGCAGCACGAGTTCAATCCCCAGCCAGGGAGGGACCCGCAGGGCGCAGCAGACTCTCCTGACCTGCCCGCTGCTCCCCTCAGCAGTGTGCTTCAGTAGATCCGCCTGTTTTGCTCCCCACTCTGTCTCTGGGGAGTCCTCTCACCCCTCCCCTGCACCTGTGGCCTGCACCCCAGCTCTGGTGTGCATAACTAAATAAACCTTTAAAAAGTATATACATACCCTGGATATAAAAGCAGAGAAAGCAGAGAGCAGCTTTGACTCTACAGACAGGGGTGGCAGCTCTTCCAGGGGTATGCCCCGGTTTATTTTTTCTTTCAAGCTCATGTATCTAACTTTTAAATCTCCCAAAACAGACAGTAGTGCTGATCCTAATTCCTTCTTAGCAGTGTGCCTTGATAAATTCCTGTTCAAAAGGTAAGTTCACAAAGCTGAGTTAGTTAGACCCTAATTATCCACATAACAGTATCACACACTGAACGCTAACTCACCGAATCTTTACTTTTTCCTCTTGGAAGGCAGTAAAGGAACATGCGGCCAAAGATATGTCTAAGGACCGTACAGGCCACCGAGGGGAAGGCGGCACGATGCCAGGAGAGCCCTCCTGCTGTCTGCACGTGAACTTTACAGAGACATCAACCCGCCCGGTCGCTGGGTCCGCGCCCCAGCACACACTGCAGCCCCCTGAGGTAAGACTGACTTCCCCAGTACAGTCTTCCCCAGAGCAGCTAACAAAACCTGCTACTTTGAAAGTGAAAAGGAAAGCAATGTTCTAAGAATTAAAGCTAGCTACACATTTCTAAGAGGTTTTCCTGAGCGACACAGATTTAAAACCCTCGTGGCCCCGGGTTAGAGCGCAGCACGGGGTGACGCTGTCGCTGCCACTGCCGCGGGAATTCCACCGGGACAGGCGTGGCCACAGGGCGCAGCAGACGCCTGCTCCCCCAGCAGTGACCTTCGTCCATTGGCCTGCTCTGCTCCCCGCCCTGTCTCTGGGGAAGCCGCGCAGCCCCGCACCTCTGGCCTGGACCCCAGCTCGTGTGCACAAATACGTAAATCTTGAAAAACAAAAAAACCAAGACTCACGCACCTCTGCGCGCCCTCCCCGTCTCCCACGACGAGCGCGTAAATGTCTGCGCAGTGGCGGCGGCACAGCTGGTGGCGCGCGTCCAGCAGCTGCAGCTCCGCCGCGGCCGCCCTCTGCGCTGCCCTCTCGCAGCAGCAGCTCGGCGGCCGGCTCCTCGCCCCCTCGCGGGCCAGCTGGCATTCCCTTAAAACAGAAGCGGGCACGTGGCAGGGCTCAGAGCACTTCGCGCCCACGACACAGCTCTATAAGCACAGCTTACGTTTCTCAAGCTTCCCTGTCAGGGGCACATTAGTTCTGGCTGCAGCCGAGAGGCTGAGGGGGAATCAGGCCTCAGGTAAAGCTAAATGTGCTCTAGTTAGCGGCGAGGAGGCAGACAATTCTGTCGGATTTTCTTTTACCAGAAACGAGTTTCAAAGTAAAGGACTGATTTTATTTCCGCACCATCCACAGGTTTAAACCCAGATCAAGTCTTGGCCAATGCACTTGGTTGTAAGCGTTCTGTATGGAAATTGCTCTGACATGAGTTATCTTTTCAACAGAAAAGACAATTTACCTTCTCCCAAGTAAGGGCCATTACTGGGGCAAGTGTTTTGTTGCGCTCTCTATAAACAAGTCCCTACAAAAATCACTACATTTTCGAGTGTTGAGAGAGTCCTTGGTGAAGAGCTCCCCTGGCCGCTACTCCTAGCCGCTCTGATACTCCGCCTCTGGAAACCAACTCTGCTGTTTCTCCGGATAGGCTTGGATCCAGATCAAACCTCTCAGGCAAATGAAAACTAAAGCAAATCCTAAGTGACCTCAGGCCCTTTGACTGACTTGGGGTCCTCTTTTGTCTCCCCTCGCCCACCTACTGGTCCTCCACTGTGCTCTGAATTATAGTGGCCTTAATAAATGCAATTACACAATGAACTAAAATCAAGATTAAAACGCCCTAATGAATGTAGCTATTTATTCCTTTAAATACATGAGGTTTTCAACGATGCCATTTAAATGTTTAGTCTCTAAAAGGATCAAGTGAAAGAAATGGAGACATTAAACTAGCATGGATTTGGGTTGGGTAAAGATGCCAGTTTCAGAGGGAAGTGCTGACACTAAAACCTCGTAAGTGAAAAGTTTCACAGCCTAGATCGTGTTTACATTTATTTGCTTGAAGGTGAATGGCTGAATAGGTCATTTACTGAAACCTTTTAAGCTATTCCACACGGCTACATGCGTTCACCAAAAGCAAATTCCCACTTTGACTCCCTCCTGTGTGACCTGCAGGCTTACTTCTGACTCACCTCTCATGATGTCTCTTTAAGTCTGAGTCATCAGATGTATTTCTGAAATCCTGGGAAACCTGAAAATATGATTTGAAATCAAATTAGAGCTATGTCTCACATACTGCACCTAGCGTTCAACGAGCTGGAGTGATTCATTCACCTCTTCCTTTTGACAGCATTTTCCATAAAAGCCTCTGGAAGCTGTTATAATTTAATGATCAAACATTTTTATCATCACAAACTTGTTCTTCATGAAGTCAAATAAACTCTCAGTAGTGACCGTCACGGGTTTTACCTTAGACAGGTTTCCATCCGGCTTCTCTCTGTCGGCTGAGCGCAGCACTGCCGGGGGTCTCTGTGTCACAGCTGTTGGCGAGTCTCTGTCATCCAGACCCAGCGACCCATCTGTGTTACAGGCCACACTCCTGTGTCTCTCTCTCTGCCACTCCCCAGGCGGCTTCCTACACATCACGGTGAGCTCAGTGTTGCTCGCCGTGGAAACCACAGGGGGTCTCCTGCTCGTGGCTCCATCGGTTGTGAAGCAGGCCCTGAAGTCCACACTAGCGTCCACAGTCTGCACCACCGTGACCACGCTGCCTGCCGCCTCTGTCCCCACTGCCGGATGCACCCCGTCCGTGCTCTGAAGCCAAGCTTCATCCTGGGTGCTGCCGTTGGCCCCTCTCAGGGAGTTCCCGCCTGCTGCTGTCTGATCACCTCTGACTGCGATGCTTGCTCTAGCACCGGAGAAATCTGAGGCTGGGTCAGGGGTGTTCCGGAGGTTTTCATAGCGTGAACAGCCACTGGCAGAGAGCACCACATCCTCAGCAGGAGAGGTGCAGGCTGCCTGACAGCCTCTACAGGGTCGGGGTGGTGGACTCAAGGTTCTGTCCTGGGGCGACACGCGAGGGCTCTCACAGCCCCGCAGCATTTTGCTGTCACCAACTACATTTCCACAGAACTCTCTACTTCCGGTTACTTGGAGCTTCAGTCTGTCAGTATGAATTTTAGTTTTTAATGATTTTGGGGGGCTTAAAAAATTACTCTTGGGTTGAGATTTCTGGTTTCCAAGAGGACTGCTCCTCAGTACAACTTCCTCAAGCCCTGTATGGTACATTAAACTAGTCTCCTGTTCTTCACACTTCCCATGCTTGGACTCATGGTGCTCCCTTAACATGACAGAACTCTGAGACTTGGAGGCAGGCGGTGAATCTCCCTGGCCACAAACATCAAGTGAATCGGAGGGGTCGCCCCAATGACACCCTGCTGCCAGGCGACGGCGCTCCGGCTTGCCAGCACACTCGGCCTCACAACCTGAACCTGTCACCCTCCCAACTCCCAGGCTGGCGCTGCTCATCACCGGTGTCTGCTCAAGCGACAGACGGCTGCTTCCAGGCTCCTGCTCCTCGGCGCTGTGATACTCAAGCTGTGAGTCCTCGGCCAGGCCGCTGCAGCATGCGCCTGTGTCACACCCTGTGCGCTGCTCGTTGGAGGCCACGCAGACTGCCTCCAAATCAATGGCCGTATCGCCTTGATGCTCCAAAATATCAAAAAATACCTCCTCTCCTCTCTGCATATCGGAATCGAATTCTGAGTTTACAGGAAGATTTTCATTCTCTAGTTTGGACTCTGAATAATGTATAAAGTATGTCTTATTCAGGAAAGAGCGGTCAATACTGTCCTCAGACTCGCTCCACTGAGAGTGGGCGCTCTCTGAGCTCGCACCCAGGCTCACGGTCAAAGGGGGCTGCGGCCCATCTGTCTCGTCAGCACCTCTGCTTTCTTTGCCATTTGCTCTCTGTTCCAGCACCAAGGAAGCCTGCAGAAAAGTCAACGTGGCTTCATTACAGTGATTGGAACATAAGAGATTTTCTTTCTTGGGACTGGAATTTTCATCTGATGAAAAAAAAAAAGACAAAATGTTAGCAGTACAGCGACAGGATCCAAACATCAGGAAAGGCCGTAGGCGTGACCGGGTGGAGGAGCACCTCTCCTGTCAGCCACCCCTCGGCTCCTTGATGACAACGTAGGTGGGAAAGCTGGGAGGCAACCAGAGCTAGTAATGTCACAAGGGTGGGGCCTCCAGGCTGAGTAACTCCCTGTGGCAGGAGAGACCAGAGAGTGAGCGCCACAGGAGGGCAGCACGAGAAGGCGGCCATCTGGAAGTGGCCAGCGCCAGGCCAGCGCCCGGTTTGGATTTCCAGCCTCAAGACTGCAGGGGAGCAATCCAGTGTAAGTTACCCAGCGTGTGACATGCTGTGAGGGCAGCTTCAGCCTACGGAGACAGCAGCGAGCTCATCCTCACGCTGTCAGTGGCAAGGTGTCTACCACTCACAAGCAGCCACTGTGTGTCTGGGCGCTTCCCACTGCAAGCTGCAGGCCCATAGAGACAAAAAGTGGCTCTGCCCCTGACAGTCGCAGCTTTTTAAGAGTTAGTGATAAGAAAAGCACATAAAAGCAACACAGGCAGAGCGCGCTGAGCGGTGTTAATGAGCAAGTAAGTGCCCAGGAGAAGCTGATTTCTGAGAAAACTGACATCTAGTGTTTTAACAACTAAGTTATTTCAGGATATCAAAGGGCACGCATGAATGCATGAAGGTAGCTGAGCAAAGAACATGGCGTTCTTCAGCAGTGCAAGCAAGCTCGTCAGGCGCCAGGGCTGTGCACGGAGGGACCTTCCCTAGGGGCAGTCCGGCCCCTACTCTGGCAACAGAGAACCACGGGCAGGCCACTGGTGGGCCAGACTGAAGGCTTGGAAAGGGAGACTCGAGGCAGACCAAGGGTGCAGGGGAGGAAGTGGAAAGGAAGCAACTGGTGACAGGTTTTGGCAATTGTAGAGGAGGAAAGGAGAAATCAGTGGCTTTCAATTTTTTTTTTTTTTTGACTAAGAACACAATCAGAAACATCTCAAGAAAATCTGCTACACATGTATATATGTGCTTGTGTGTGTGAGAGTGAAACAATAAAATAGTAACTTCTCCAACTATGTCTATTGTACCCTGGTACCTTTTTTTCTATTTTATTAAAAACCTGATCACGGGGCCTCCCTGGTGGTGCAGTGGGTTGGAGCGCAGCACTGCAAAGCTGGCCATGGCTGCCTCAGTGCGAGTTCGATCCCTGGCCCCGGAGCTGACCCACATGGCCCGGCAGACCTCTCCTGACCCGCCTGCTGCTCCCCTCAGCAGTGTACTTGTCAGTCAGCCTGTTCTGCTCCCCACTCTGTCTCTGGTGAATCCTCTCACTGCTCCTGTACCTCTGGCCTGTACCCCAGTTCTATATGCATAAATGAATAAAACTTAAAAATAAAAAAAGCTGGCCCTCCCTGGTGGCGCAGTAGGTTAAAGCACAGCACTAAGAAGCTTAAGCCACTTCCTCATGAGTTCGATTCCCGCCTGCCCTGGAGGAGATCCACATGGCGAGGCAGACCTCTCCTGGCCCGCCCGCTGCTCCCCTCAGCAGTGTACTTCGTCGATCTGCCTGTTCTGTACCCCACTCTGTCTCTGGTGAATCCTCTCACCCTCCGCATCTCTGGCCTGTACCCCAGTTCTGTATGAATAAATAAATCTTAAAAAAAAAAAAAAAAAAAGCTAATCAGTCTGCTAAACTGATTTCACGACTCACTGTGGTTGCCACCTACTTAAACATCACTCCAAGTAGTGGTCAGCTTTACAACTTGGTGTCACAGTTGAGCTAGAGAGGCATTTTCTGAAGCCTTAGAAAACCAAGGGGAAAGTGGAGGTGGGGGAAGCTGGAGGGGAGAAAACAAGTTCCACTGCAGGCAAGTGGAGTCTGAGGTCAGTGATGACACAACCGTGTACAGGGTGTTCATATGGGTTGGATTGTTTGCAGAATTCTCCTTACAGATTCTGGATACAAATTCTGCTTTCCATGTTTACAATATAAGTTATTTTTTCTTAATTTATTGCATTTTTTTCCCCCCTTGGGCACAGAAACCCATTTTATTCAGTGCTGTTGACAGAAAACATCATCCAAGAGACACTGGGGACAGTGCTGTGACAGGCACCCGGAAGCCCCAGCAGAGTGTGAGGGCGTCCAAGGCTCTGTGCACACTGGAATGTTCTTAGTTGCTCAGCACCAAGCCAGTGAGCTATCACCACTGACACAACCACGTTGTCTTCATACCCTGCTCCAGCTCCTACTTTCCTGTTGTCTTCTCAGCCACTGCGATATGAACACAGGATTTCAGCACCCATGGTGGTGCCATCCCTTCCTTGTCAAACACCCAAAGGCCTTCTAAGCACTCCTCATAGGTGCCCTGTCCTTGTTCTGAGCCACAGCCCGCAGCACGGCAGGAAGTGCTCAAAGCACCTTCACGTTCATCTCATTACCCTTGGGCTCTCCAGAACCCTGAGCACCTCGGCATTGGTGGGGCTCTGGCTCCACATCCCCACACAGCCCATATAGGATCTTGCCTTCCCCTGCTTGGTTGAACAGCTGGAAGGCCTCAAACTCTCCCGTCTGGTCCTCGGTAATGTCACACATCTTGACTGCTCTGCCCTGTGAGACCGTGTCCTGTGGCTTATCTTTTAACTTTTTATAATACCTTGTCATCATAATAAAGATTATTAATCAGTCTTTTCTTTTCTGTGAGACCGTGTCCTGTGGCTTATCTTTTAACTTTTTATAACACCTTGTCATCATAATAAAGATTATTAATCAGTCTTTTCTTTTCTTTTGGCTTTTGTATCTCATTCCAGAGACTGTAAGAGTACCCTAATAAGTTTATTCTCATCTTGTGTGTATGCAGCACTTAGCCTTTTCACATTACTCAGAATACATTTTCTTTTGTGAGCTAGGTATCTAATTTTCCCCCCAAACTAGATGGTCAGTAGTCCTAATGCCATTTATTGAACAATTCAGTGTTTTTTTTAGACTTGAAATAGTGTCTTCACCATGCTTTAAAGTTCTAATTGCTTTTTTTTTTGGGTACATACAGTTTTGATGACTATAGCACCACAGGGTACTTTATATCTGATTGGTTGCTTCTTTCTTCCTTTGTATTTACTTTCTTTAAAAAATTTTTCCTCGATTATTTTTTCACAATTTCTCTTTCAGGCCAGTTTTTCAAATTCATTTGTGTGTGTGTGTGGAACATTTTGGGTTGCATGAAAAATTCTATTGGAATGTACAGAAAAAGAGATGACTATCATCATGTCCAATCTCAGGTGGCCTTCCCCAGGCTTCCAACAATTAATGTGTAAACAGAAATGCAAACACCATTGTGTGGTCCAGTGGAGTTGAAAAGTGATGTCTTCATTGTAGAACATAATTGTATCCTTTATCTGACCCTCTTTATCTTCTCACAAATGCTTTCTATACCAATCACACTTTATTAGTACTATCAATTTCATTTGATTCCGATTTCAAGTTCATTTGATTCCTAACTTGAAAATCCTTTTACTTTCAATCATCCTCTTCTATTTTAAACATGTCTCATATAGGATGGGATTTTTTTCCTTTTTAATCTAGTCTGTCCCTTCATAGGTAAAACCACACATGTTCTTATGTATATAGAGCTTAGCCACCTTGGTTTTTATGTTCTTGTTATTTCTTATTTTCTCCTTTACCATTACCATGGAAAAGGAAATTTTCAGGAATGTGTGAAGACAAAGCACACATACCTGTCTATTTACTTCCCACTTGTTACCCTGAAGACAATGGACCTGTCAGCAGTTCCTCAAAGCCCAGCTAGACTGAAGCCCTGTCTTCCTGCACACCCCATCCCCCTGAGAGGACACGCACAGGGTGCCCACAGTCACAACTCACCTGGCAAGTATGCCAAGTTAACTGGCACACTTTTATGGGGACGGAAGGCTTAGAGTAATAACATGGAGGAGGGGCTGGCTGGCCCAATTACATTTAATCCTTCTCTCCACCCAAAACAAAAACAACAGAGTTGGTCCCTCACCTTTCTGGAAGTTCCTTCCATCATTGTGGTACCCTTTACCAGATGCTGTTTCCACCACTGCAGTAGCCTGCATTGCTCAAGAATTTATATTCTAGAAGAGATACAAACATTTAACTATTATTATACTTGACATTATATTTTAAATGCTCTTAGAGAATTTGACAAAGTGACAATTGTGTCAAAAATTCTAATACCACAGAGCCAGTAAACAGCAGAGCTGATAGAACATTTGAATAACTAAAAAAAAATCACATGAATTGACAACTAGGTAAAAGACTTGTGTATTTTAAACAGGCATTCTTTTAAAATTTCAAGGGAACATAAAATACCAATGTGCTAAATCACCAAGAAGTCTTAATACAAAACAGAGATTATTAAAAGGCTACAATGTGACTCTATTTTTTGATAAACCTGGATAAAAAATGTTTTCAAAACTAGTTGGTAAACTTACTAAAAACCACTGACATGTTACAGACATAAATGGAATATCTTTCTGCAATAAAAACAAACACACACATGATCTCAATTTAACTCAAAAATATGCTGATGCAAGAAGCCAGACAAAAGAGATCACCTATTGAATGATTCCATTTAAAAAATTCGCAGAAAAAAGAAATTTATAGAAGCAGCAGATTTGTGGATGCCTGGTGAGGAAGATGAGAAGGGGGCTAACTGTGACAGGGTACAGAGCTTACTGGAGGGATTAAAATGTCCTAAAACTTGATTTGCTGTGTGATGGCTGCAGTACTTGACTTACTAAAACAAGGGGACATTTGAAAGGAGTAAAATACCTCAATAAAAATAACTTTTTAAAATAAAAGATAATGATATTGGTTCCTGGAGCAGCTGGCACCGAGGAAGCTTGGTAGGAAAACCAAGGCACCCCAACGGGCTTCATGGCCCCAGCGGCGTCCAGCAGAAAACAACACCCAGACACCCCACAAAATAATTTTGCTCCTTCTGGCTCCTAGTTATCTTCACTGTCTATACCCTAAAACACGGAGGTCCTGCCACTGGAATGCTGGGACCCACGTGTTATAAAAGTCCTTGATCAGCTTGACTAAAAAAGGAATTCATTTTGTTCTAACTCTTGAACTATTTTAATCCCTCATCTGGAACAAACCGTCTATGTTTGTTCTTCCTGCTCCACGTGACTGCAGAGTGCTATGAAGCAGAAGAGCCTGCAGGCAAGATAGCCTGGCAGCCTGTCTAGCGCTGAATTCTGCTGCAGCAGCCACTCACTAAACAGTGTGAACTCCAACGACTGAAAAACAAAATTAAAGACAACGAGAATGTGAGCTTTCGAAATATACAGGACCAACAAAAGTCACAGTTCCAGTAAAAAAAATTTTCATTAACTTTTTTTCCATACAACCTTGTAGCCCCAGAAATACTTATTATTAAATAAAACTGAGACAGAACTAGTGAGTAGTCAACTCAAGAACCTAGTTTGAGAAAACTAAAATTTTAGAAAATGTTGAGGATGACATGTTACAAACAAAAGCGGAAATGGCCAATTAAAAAAAAAAGTAATAATTAAGCCAAGAACTAGCCTTCAAAAGTATTTACAGTGGATAACCAGACAACTTTCACTAAGAGAGGGCGGAAACAAGAGACAACACGGAGAGAAGGAATATTTTCACAAGAGTAAAAGACACTTTCAATACTGAGTTCACTACATATGCCTCGAATGGATAATTTGAAAATCTAGCCAAAACAGGAAATTTTCTCGGAAAATAATTTTTAAAAAGGATAGAAAAGTTCGATAGAGAACTACCAACAGCAAAAACTGAAAAGGCCATCAAAGATCTATTCCTCCTGGACATGCCTGGAGCAAGAGAAATGACGGCCCCTGCTTAGCACAACCGCTGCCCCCAAACTGAGCAGGAAGCCCGGCAGCAGCCTGCTGTGGCTACTCCTTGGCGCTTCCTGATGCCTGCCGAGTCCAGGCCTCCAGAGCAGGGCAAGGGAAGGCAAACGTGGCCCGGCGGGCCCGGTGGGAGTCATGGGCTGAGGTCAGACATGGGTGCGGGCAAGCAAGGCAGCCGATGATGCTGCGGAGCTCAAGGCGGCTGGGAGGGCGGGCATGGCTCTCGTGGGTGAGTTTTATGGAGCAAGTGGGCAAGACATCTCGTGCAGGGTGCAGGGGAGGGGAAGAGCCCTGCAGGCATCCAGCCAGCCGCTGTCATGGGGGGAAGGCTGTTTTATTCTTAATTCCAGGGCACAGCTCTTCGGGTTTTTGGGACATTGGGACAACACATCCCCATCTCGACGGACAAGGACTCTGACGCTTGTTTTCTATGACTAGGCTGTTAGAAACACAGCTCAGTCCCAGTCATCCTTGTGAAATCAGCAGATGCTTGCAGGAAAGGTGCCCTGGGTGCCCCCCTTCCCCTGGAGGCTCCCCTTTCCCAAACTCTGGCCTGGTGCTTTCCCCTAGCTAGTTAGTTCTTAGGTGCTTTTAAGATTAGAAAATGTCTTTCTAGCTTTTAAAATTGCCTTGTATGGGTAGGAAAGTTAACCTAGCCTGTCGTTCTTTTGAACTTTTGAATTTTAATTTTAGATGTGAAAAGTTTTATTCACAGGGTAATGAGAAGAGGGAGAACAGGGAAAGAGGGAGGTGGGAGAGGAACTGGCTGATATACAGCAGAGCTGTCTGAACTGAGACACCAGGGTGCAAGTCAAAAGCCACAGCTGAAACTGCAGTTCTTATGCGACACGACGAAAATCTTTTGACTTATGGAAACTATCGAAATCATCATTTTTGGAACATTACCTTACTTGTAAGTGAAAAGCAGTTTTATGAAATTAAAAGACACATATTACAACGATGTGACCGGCTGAGGACTATTAAGAAGCCGGCACTGGGCCGGAGAAGTGGCACCCACGCAGCTTTTTCCTACTCTACTATATTTTTCAAAACTCCTTGCAATGTGACTATTTCTAGGCGCATGTTCTGAGAAGAGCAGAAGTGTTATTTTAAAGTTCTAGCATAGAACAACCTCCTGAAATACCACATGTATCTGACAAATCTCAAGGGGGCTGCTCTGCTCTGCAGGCTTCTGGAATGCTGCTTCTGCATAGCTCCCTTTTCTCAGAACGCTGCCCTCTAATTCCCAACAGCCTTAGCTTCCCTGAACACCACTGTCAACGGGGCACACTCCTCGCTTGGCTTGAAACCCCTAGCTCCATGCGCAGTGATCTGCAATGTGCTTCTGGGCAGGAAGCCTAAGGCTCATGTTGGACATTCCGTTCCTTTCATAAATCACAGACCCACTGCACCACCCGCTCTCCAGTGTTTAAAAACAGTTGTTTCACACACAGGACCCTGTTTTCATGTGGTCTTATGGCAATATGTCAAATTCAGTCTGTTACTTTGTCACTGCCAGAAGTCTCAATACGCTTGCGAACATGTCTGACCACAGGACAAGAGTAATGAAAATGACAGCGACTTCCACAATATCAAGAAATGAAACAAGACTGTCAAATAATTCAATTTTGAAAATTGATTCAATAAATCAATTTTCATTCACACAGAAAGTTTAAAAAGTTACTAAATGTTTACAAAAATACAACATATCAAAACTTGTGGGATGCAGTGAAGACAGTCTTTAGAGAGATTATAACAGAAAAGGGCTTATAACAGAAAAGATTTAAAATCAATGCTCTTAAACGGAAACGCTTAGGGCCCCTGCTGGTGGCGCAACAGGCTAAACGCACAGCACTGCAAAGCTAGCTGCAACCGCTTCCGCACAACTTCCATCCTGGGGGGAGGATCGAACCAACGTGGGTTAGGGTTAGTTCACAGGACGCGGCAGACCTCTTGTCTCCCTGCTGCTCCCCTCAGCAGTGTGCTTTTGTCAATCTGCCTGCTCTGCTCCCCACTCTGTCCCTGTGAAGCCTCTCACCCACCACACGTCTGGCCTGGATCCCAGTTCTGTAAGCATAAATAAACAAATCTTTACAAAAAAAGAAACTAGAATATATTCTACTCCCAAACAGTGGAAATAATAGAGGACCATGAACATAGCAAAGTTGTTTTAAAAAGATTAATAAGAATTTAAAAACCTTTCACAAAACTTACCTAAGAAATAGAATAAACACAAATTATTACTATCAATTTTGACATAAACATGAAAACAAAATAGGGGCGATAATAAAGAAATCTGTGAAATTCTCAGACGTTTCCGAGGAACCACTACCTTCCAAAGTGATGTAAGAAATTATCTCTTCGGCAAATCAAGCAGTAGTTAAAAGCTTTCCTTTAAAGGACTCTCCAGATGCAGATGGTCGCACGCGTGATTTCTACAACTCAAACGAGGCCCAAGTAACGCCAGGGTGCGACCTTGGCAGCGCTGACCGAGAAAGAGGCGTGAATCCTGGAGAGACCGCGCTCGCAGATCTAGCAGGAAGCCGCTTCTCTACCAACCGCGCCACAGATCACAGATTCCTCAAAACAGCACGTTTCCCAGGCGCTGCCACGCGGCGACTCTCGCAGCTTAAGTAACCGATGCTGAGCGTCCAGGAGGCGCTGGGTTCCCGGGAACGCCGAGCCCAGCCGGCTGGGGACGCGGCCTCGGGGCCTCCGCACCGTGCCAGCCTGGTGCCAGCCTGTGCCTGGCCACGCCAGCGCTCACCACGGTGGCGGCAGGAGGGTCTCCTCCAGCGTGAACGAGGCCTTACGTTTCTTCAGGAAAACGGGACAATACATCCACGACCTCGGCGGGAACGGGCCTTGGAAACCGGAAGTGCCCGCAAGGAGCCCCAGGCGCTGGAGCAGGGCGGACAGCGGCCCAGCGCAGGGCGACCAGGGCCAGGGGAGCAGACCGCAGGCTCGAGGCCCCCCCCCCCGACTGGCC